ATTTTTTTAAAAAAAACAAATATTATACACACCATTTTTTTAACATTTCACCTGTTGAGTGGCAACTTGTTGGATTCCAGTTCTTTGCTATGTTGAACAAAGTAGGAAAACAATAATTTCATAACAGTTAGATAAATCATTAACCCGATGCTGTGACTTGATTGTAAAAATAATAATGCCTACCTCATTTCAATGACCACAGAATACGCACTTAAACTGCTTGATAAACAGTCAAAGAAGCCCATTGAATATTGTAGATTTTGCTGTTTCAACTGACTTGAATTTCCTGATTTTTATGAGTAGTTAAAGTAATGATATTTTAGCATCCTCGATGTGGTTAGCAGATTTTCCGGTCACTATTTAGTGGATACCAAAAGCAGTTAACCAACCCATGGCCAAAATAACTACATTTATTCCTAGGCAATAGAAGAGAAGGTATTCTTATTTAGAACCTCTTCCCTAAGCAATCTGCTCCCGGCCCCTTTGTTGATCTCTTCTTGAACAGGGGTGTCTGTACCCAGATGATAGGGGTCTCTTGTTTACTGCAGATATGGCCTATAATACGATTACGTTTTCTACTTTTTTCATCTCAAAATTAAATAAACAACTGTAATATAACTTCCCTGTGAATAGTATCATAAACCTTACCTGACCTTGGTTTTGTCAGTTTGTCGTAACTTACACATTCCAGTGTTGTCATTCAAGTTGACAGAGAACCTAGGAGAGTTGGCCCTAAAAATGAGGTAGTCTCATGCAATAGGCAACTTTATTCAGAGCATCAGACAACTTATACTCCGAGGGTTAAGAAAAGTCACATGAGTCAGTAGCCAATCACAAAGATAAGCACACACAATAAAAACTGTTTGTCCATAAAAAAAATATGTGTAACAACAGCTGAAGTAAACACACTCCTGTCCAAATTACGCCTGGGAGGAGCATGAAAAGAAATTCCAAGAATAATTCTGTGTTTTGAAGAAACTGTGGACACAAGACTCATGTCATGCATTTTTTGAAGTTTCCTCAAGCACTCAGAAATATCCTCTCACAACTCAGTTCTTGGACCATGTTCTGACAACCAGGACTCCAGCTTGTAATCAGAAATGCATCAATCATGGCTTTCTCTACATGTTTTGCAGTCTGGCTAATTATGGACTAATGAGCATGCCCTTTGTGTGATATTTTGGTTTGCTTATACCTTGATAAATATTTCAGTTCTCTGTTAATTAAGTAAATTGACATTGTTAATTATGAGAAATGAACTCACTGAACACAGATGAAACCATCTGAAAGAGGGATTTTTAATATTCTAATGTCCTTTATTTAAACTGCATTTCCAGAAATGTGTTGAGAAAAGGTCATCCAGGTGGATCATTTAAAAGAGAAACTTCATGATTTCCTTATTTTTCATTGCTGAGTAATACTCCATTGTATCTGATTGGCCTGCTTGTTGATCACTTCCCCCTGAGGGGGGAGCAGCCTTATCAGGCCACAGTAGAGGACAATGCAGCCACTTTTGATGAGAACTGATAGACTAAGATCAGAAAGAAGAGGAGAACCTCCCCTATCAGTGGACTTGGGGAGTGGCATGCATGCAGAAAGGGGAGGGAGGGTGGGATCGGGAGGGGAGGAGGGAGGGGCTTATGGGGGGATACAAAATGAATAAAGTGTAATTAATAAAAAATTAAAAAAAGAGAAACTTCATAGTTTCTTAGAAATTAATTTTATAGTGCCTACTTACATAAAAATGAATCAGTAACTTTTCTCCAGAAACCACATAATTCTTATTAGGTCTTGAACATAACATCTTTCATGAATTGAATTTGTTTTGAAAGCCTCATGCAGGCATATAATGCATTCTGATTACTTTCATGCTCTACACTCTTTTATACCATACACTATTATTAACACTCTCTCCTGTCTATAAATAATGTTTCTTTTGCGCCTCACTAAACTTGAGGCCTTCTGATCATCTGTTTAAGATTATCCATTAAGTCCTTATATTATTTCAAAACAAAACAATAGAACCACCACTGGGCTGAGGAGACAGCTTAGTCAGTAAAGTAACTATCTTGCAAGAGAAGGATCTAAACCTGATCTTCAGAAACCAGGCCCTATGCCAATGCCAAGTTTGGTGCAGCTTCTAACCCCAACAGTGGGGAGAGAAAGAAAAGAGAATTCCAATGGCTCATACACAGTCCAGCTAGTCCACTTGTAAGCCTTAGGACAATGAGAGCAATGAGTGATCATGTCTCAGAGGGCATAAATATTAATTCTGAATTATGTCCCTAGTTTATCCTTGAGCATTCACAGGGAAGTTCATAGACACTCATACACCCTGCCCACATATGTATCTGCCCTTACAATAATGCATACACACATAAATACACAAAATCCATTCCTCAAATTGAGCATACATAAAATAGGAAATAATGTGAAATAACACACTTTTGAAGAAAGCTATAATACTGACAAGTTCTAAAATCTTTTCTTGATATAGATTTATAAGTTTGTCAGTTAGACACTCATAATTAATCTTGAACATTTTGTAAATTTTGTAATGAATGAGAATTTTCTTATCAAGTCCAAGAGATACTAAAGTAATGAGTTGAAAGAAGTTACAGTATAATATTAAATTAACTAATTTAGTTCTCATTAAAGCATTTATAATTAACTTTTTATTTCTACTTTAGATGTTGAACATTTTTATAGCACTTAAAATTCATTGTGATTTTTTTCATGACAAAATTATTTTTACAATCATTAAAACATTGGATTAATTTTGAAAGATTTATTCCAGTAAAAGAGATGTTTCTCAGTTGCAAACATCTGCAAAACTGTCCACAGTTTCAAGTCATTTGTCGCAGGGACAATTTAGGATTCTCTTTGTCCACTAAAGAGTTTCTCAACAACTAAAAATGAAGTGTTGGGAGGATGTAAGTGATATGATTAGTCACTGAATGAGTTTATTGCTTCCTGAATTCAGCTGAATTAAATTATTTGCTGGTGCATTTCACGTTGGAGCCTAAACGTCTACCCCATTTAATTTTAATGTAATTTCCTCTGAGTAAATTGTGGGGGCAACTTCTAAGAAAATCATGTTAAATCAAAATTACCATGTACAGTTCTTTTGTGTAGGAAGATCATTGCCTCTTAAACAATGGAGTTAGATTAGAATTTTTTCTCATAAAACATATATATTTGGAAGGATTTTAAGACTCACAGGCTTACCATTTTATAACATTTCATGTTCTAGAGAAAATCACGGCAGATGAAACTACACTAAAATATAAAATCACCTGTGTCATAAAATTTTAATTGTTTTCTTTCAGTTTCAATTGTTTTCTGTTAACTATTGTGGAAAAATAACTATTGTGAAAAATGCCCAAGTCACAATAACTCATGGGTTAGGTAGAAAAAGAAAACAGATTCCTGAAATCCTGGGACAAGTATTGTTATCCTCATCATTTTATTTTAGAGCTTGTTCTATTGTTCATTAAATGTAAAGCCAGTTCCTAAAGCCAAGTCATCTACCTATTTAAGGTAGAGACCAAACATCACAATGAAATAAATTGATACCAACAATTTGCAAATACTGCTAATGAATTTTTTTTAATTCAAACTTTCAAACCCATGTTATTTTTAGATTTAACACAGTTATCTGAAGAACTTAAAAAGCAGTGAAGGTAAAACATCCTCATTATATTATATGGGGGGTTAAATGAAAAGATTTGAGAAAATATCCTTAAATGTACTGCATAGAGACAATATTCAAAGACATAGTGTTAATCTCTTTTGTACATTTACTCTATTTTGGAACTTGTATAATAGAATTGCAAGTGCACTCGTGGTGTTTAATTAATAGTTCTAAGTCTAAATCCTAATGAAAAGAATTTAAAGGAAGCCTGTTACAATCATTCATTCAAATACATGCATACATACATACATATATATTACTAAATCATTTAAATTTAACTATGTATTTATAGAAACAGTCTTATGTTACAAAGTTGTTACATAAATATCTCATATTTGTTCACAACTGAGACTTAGAGAAAGTCCATTAAAAAACTTTGTATATGATTATTTAAAAAATATATATATTGTGAATGCATTCACAATATATATACCTATATAAAATGTAAGCATGTATGTAATGTTATAAGTATGGATACAAGATATATGTTGTATTAATTTCATATGTAAATATGCATATTTGGTCTGTATATGCGTGTTTGTAAGAAATCAAAAATAACCATAGAATTATTTTATGTTTGCCATATTACAAATGCAAATTTTTCAATGATTTTCTCCTTGGGTTATAATCTGCCATGCTGGGGTGTACAAGTCAGGGACTAACGACACAAGTTTGTCTCCCAAACATAGAGTCAAATAAGACACCTAAGTCAGACATACTCAAATAGCTGAAACCAAATAAGCAAATATGCAAATGGCAGCTCAGGGGATGTACTGTCTATTCCTATCTCACTCTTCTGTCCTTTTATATCCTGATGTTCTATAATCAATTTGTAGAAACGATCAGGACAGAAGTAATGGCACATGCCTTTAATCCCAGCACTTGGGAGGCAGAGAGAGATAGGTGTCTGACTTCAAGCCTAGGTTGGTCTGTAGAGCAAGTTCTAAGATAATCAGGACTATACAGAGAAACCCTGTCTCTAAAAACCATAAATAAATAAATAAATTGGAGTGAAAGGAAAGAAAGAAAAGTAAAGTAAAAAAAAAAAAAAAACTGACAATTTCTGGGCTGTTGTAACCCTCAGTGACTGCTCACAAAATGATTCCCTTAGTAACTGCAGTATTGTCTTGTCTGGGAAAGGTTAGTTACAGAGAGTGTAGGATGTCCCCTACAAATAAAAATACAAATGAAACAATGTTAAAAGTCCATGTACACATAATCTACATGAGTATTCTTTGACTTTCTATTGATATAATTAAATCTGCATGTATGTGAGTTAATATTTTCTCTGTTTTTGTTTACACAGTGCAAACTAGAATATCAGGCATGTGTTCTTGGAAAGGAGATCTCTATCAGATGTGAAGGCCGTTGCCCATGTCCCTCCGATAAGTCCACCAGCACAGGCAGAACTGTTAAGAGAGGTAAGTGATAGAAATTTGTTCATGCCTATATGTTCCATCTACTCTCCACGGATATTTTGTAATAAATAGTAATTAATAAAAGCTGAAAGAAATTTGCTTTTATACCTATGACTAGCTTGTCATAGGTATAAGAACATAAGAACATAAGCTTGTCATAAAAACAATCTTGTCCTTTTATTTTGAGCTGGGCCTCAATTATAAATAGAAACCTTTCTCCTTCCATTCACAGTCATTATCAAAAGAAGTGAAACTTACAGAATTATTAAATTTTTTATGCTCACCAAATATAATATGTGAATTTAGTCTAATATTTTTAGAACTGGGAATTGCTCCTTAATTAAATGTTTGACCACATACAAAATTCCTTGAATATTGTTTTTATAAATGAGATGCCTACTAAGTGTGCAGTGTTTGTATGAAGGTGGGTGCCAATGAAACAATTTTATAAATAATACATTTTAATAACTTGATGCATAGTGTCATATATACTTTGTCTTTTCTTAAATTGATTACTTAAAATTTCATGAGTGTTTGTGTGTGTGTAATTGTCATTATATCTTCAAAAAGGTCTAGAGAGTTCTAAAATCAACATTTGAGTTTATAACTTGTTTATAATTTGAGAATTACCATGGTTTCCCTGTGGCAGAGAAGTATTCATTGCAGATTTTTTCCTGAAACATTTTGAATAATAGCAACAAATATAACAAATATGATTTGATATCAAATTTGCTTATAACAATTACTCTATTTTGAACACAGTGTGCTAGTTTTCTGCAATAAAACAAAATGCCAAGGCTAATCAATTATAAGAGACAAAAGTCAATTTGGGCTTATGGCTCAGTGGTTTTAGCCCATGACTTTTGATTTTTGTATTGCAGTACAGAACTGCAGGAAAAGCAGGAAGAGTGCTCACCTCATATTGGCAAAAAGAACAGAGAGAGACAGAGAGACAGAGACAGAGAGACACAGAGAGAAACCAGAGACAAAGGAGGAGACAGATTCCCAAATTATTTTTAAGAGTGTATTCCTTTCTGCTTCTGGGATACCTCACTCAGGATATTCTTTTCTAGATCCCACCATTTGCCTGCAAATTTCATGATTTCCTTATTTTTTTAATTTTAATTTTTCTTTTTAGTTACAATTTGTTAACTTTGTGTCCCAGCTGTATCCCGCTCCCTCATTCCCTCCCCATCTCAAACTCCCTCCCTGGTCTCCTCCCTGCCCCTTTCCAAGTCCACTGATAGGGGAGGACCTCCTCCCGACATCTGTCACCGCATTGATCGCCAGGGTTGATTCGGCTGATTTCCTTATTTTTAATTGCTAAGTAATATTCCATTATGTAAATGTACTACAATTCTTGTATCCATTCCTCCATTGAGGGGCATCTGGGTTGTTTCAGTATCCAAGTGGGTTTCCCTAGAAAGGGGGAACAGATACTGTCTCTGACATGAACTCAATGGCAGGCTCTTTGACTCTTTGGCACCCCGCCCCCCAACGAGGAGCAGCCTTGCTAGGCCACAGAGGAGGACATTGCAACCAGTCATGAAGAGACCTGATAAGCTAGGGTCAAATGGAACTGGAGGAGGACTTCCCTTATCAGTGGACTTAAAGAGGGGCAGTGAGGATATGAGGGAAGGAGGGGTTAAGAGGAAAAGAGGGAAGGGGCTACAGCAAGGATACAAGTAAATAAATTGTAATTAATATAAAAAATAAAAATTTAATTTAAAAAAAGAGTGTAATCCTAAAGACCTATCTGCCAGAGCCTGCCGGCAGAGTCGAACAGTTCTTGAGTCAGGAGTGAGGATTGAAAGAAAATTAATAAACCAACACAATACATATAGGATCTGTCTGAGAGGGCTTCCAGTAGAAAAAATTTAGTCACCTCAGTTTATTCCAATAATTCCTTTTCAAGTCAGAGCAAAAGCACCTCAGTACAATGAATGGGTTCATGGAGAAGTCAAACTTCTTTACCTTGACCACCTGTCTGTGTGATCCTCACACAAACAAAAGATGTGCTTGACAAGATACCACCTCTTGTCTCAAACAAAACGAGGTGGACTTGGCAAAACTTCTATCACTGACTCCAGGTTAAGGCCAGGGTGAAAACATGTCTTTTCACTGATATCTAAATAACAAAGTACCCTGGTAGACCAGCAGCACCCCACACCTATCTTTCTTCACTAGATTTCAGATATTTAACATGAAGGTTTCACATTAGTAGTCTAGTATTATAACAGACTTGGAAAACTGATCCATGAACCTTTAAGTGACACTCAAAATCTAAGGTACAGCACATGGCATAACTGTCGATCAATGTTTTAATCTCATGAGGAATATATTATCTTAGACCCATTGTCTGAAAATCAGTGATGTTACATTTATTTACATATTTCAGTCAAAACACTGAATCAGTATCATTGCTCAAAAGAAAACAGATTAATTTTAAAGTAGGCAGTGAACACCCAGTATTCAGACATGTGCACGGTGTCATCAACTTCTCCAAGTGTCTGGGGCGCCTTCTACTCGTAGCCCTATGCTTTAAACACTGCTTTTTTTTTTTTTTTTTTTTTCTCACACTAGAATTGATTAGTTTTCACTCCTGGTTACTTCTATAACATTTTCTCTATTTTTCAGTCTAATTTCTTCAACACTGTCTAGATAACTTTTAACATGTTGACTCTGTCATTTACCGTTACAACATCTAAAACTAATTATAGTTTTCTTTTAACTGAGATTTTTTATTATCTGTGCCTTCCTCACTCTGCTCCCAAGTTAATATATTTTCACAATTGCATTGAAGACTTTTAACTCTGATAATCATGTAAGGAATGATATTAACCCTATCTCATTCAATATCTATGTCTGTCATATTACATAAGAACTTTTGAAATGTTGCCTTGATAAGTGTTGTCACCTAAATTGCCACAAATCTTCAACAAGGTTTCTGTTCAGTAATAGTTTCCAATTTTAGGATTACTTTTGAAAGAGGTGTTGTGTTTTATATGGTATCACTTTATCATGTCATACCATAACTGTGCTAGAATATGCATTAATTTTGGATAGTGACACATTTATAAAGTAATTCACCAAGAATAAACAATAATAGTATTGTGTCACTTAAACTTTCATTACAGTATTTAGATTAATATGTCAAAAGAAGAGCTCTTCTTAAAGTCCTACCATCAGGGGATAAAGATAATTTGTGTTCAATTGTGCATCAAAAGAGAGGTAAGAGGATTTTAAACTAATTCTGTTCTGACAGATTGTCAGAGCAAAGTAAGAACAGGATTTTGCCAGCTACTGTGGAAAAGCAGTACAGAAAATTTTGAATGTCATTTCTCCACAGTGCCAAAGGCCAAGAGACTTGGGAAATGTAAAACTCAGTTCAGTATCATTTCCAATCTTCCACCTGTCATTTATAGTAGAAGCATGTCTTAGGGCAACTGTGCATTGCAAGAAAAATTTTTTAATGTCATCTCTGCTATAGAAGTAGTGAGAAAGAAACTACATTCTATAAAATAGTTCTCTAACCATTTTGATTCTCTCTCTGAGATCAAATTGATATCATACTAGACTTTCAGTTTATTAATTGCAGAGCTAACCTTTTAAATTTGTTTGAACTACAACAAAACTAATAAAATAGATATTTTTTATAAAGTAGAGGGAATATAGCTTCCCATTATTCTTCAGAAGTCCATACATGTTCTACATAAATTGGCCGAAACATTTAAATTTAAACATCTTATATTGAGAATTATAGATTATCTATATAAGGTTTCAGATTCTGACTTTAAGTTTATAAACAAATCCTTCAATAAGTAACCAAAATAATTTTTGCATATTTTATACTTCTGTCAGCTTTCCCTTTTATTTAAAATCATCCCTAGAATGACCTAAAGAAATACTGTCCCTTTGCAAGATTTATCATTTGAAAGGTACAGCCACATTATTAAATAATCATGGCATTCAAACTGATTACAAAAGACCATGACATGTTTTAGCTAGAAGAATATGAGATTTACTGTGAACATGAGCTATGAATAGATCATTCCCATAACTTTTGTATGTACATATAAAATACAATTATCAGTTTTATAAGAGATTTATGTAAAATCAAGAAAGACCTTAAGAAAATATATTTTCTCTTAACATGAAGATCTTACCTTACATATATATTTAATTGCAACAGATCATAAGCAGAGTAAACATATCTATACAATCAAAAGGGCTCTATTTTGTTATTCATTTGGTCTTCTAGGTTCAGGACATTATTTATTTACCCCTTTTCATTCTGGCTTGAACATGAATTTTGCCTCATGCCTACTGTATTTGTGGTTGTCAGAAGCTTCCATTTCCACTTGTGTCCTTGCTCCCTTGTGTCCTTGTCCCCTCTGCTTTTGGAATTTTGGACTCACAGTTTGTGCATCTGATACTGTTTCAGCTCCCATTGTCCACTGTCATTGCAACAACCAAATCAAGGTGCCACAGGAACATTCAGAAAGAGGCAGTATCTTATTTTGCCCTGGCATCTTGGCCACATATGGTTTTGTACTGATACCTTCTCTCTTACAGATGCAGAGACCACTGGGAGGTTTCTTGTTCCACTTTGTTCTTTTTTTATTACTTTATATGTATCCACTGAAACACAATCCATTATCAGTCACAACATTCATTTATTTGTTAGTTGGTTACAATCTAACACAAAGTGAATTTCAAGTTTCTCAGGAATGACATACAAATCTATATGAAGAAAGACTTTATACCTTGGAATTGGAACCAGAAGTCATCTAAAATTCAGCTAAACACATATTTACAACACAGCTTACTAAGCAAATAATCAGAATACAATAATTACTGATCTTTGATACAGTGATACAATATAAAAAAATAAGAATGAAGAAAAGATAAGATGGCTCAATAGGTCAAAGCACTTGCTTTTCTTCCAGGGAGATAAGAGTTTAGCTCCTGGCAACCAAGTTGTATAGTTCACAGCACCCTGT